AAGTAAATACTGTATAACCAAAAATTAAACAAAAAACGTCATCCCCAACACGAAGGATTCAACCTCAACCAGACGAAATCGCTTTAGGAGGTTAAAAGCGAAGAAAAGAAATTAAATACTGTATAGCCGAAAAACAAACAAATGCATTTTCTCCAACACGAACGAAGAAGCCACACGAAATCGCTGTAGGGGGGTTAAAAGCGAAGAGAAGAAATTTAAGATTGCATAACCGAAAAATAAACAAAAAAAACCTCTTCTCCAACACGAAGGAAGAAGCCACACGAGATCGTTTTATAGAGGTAAAAAGGCGAAGAAGAGAAATTGAATACTGTATAACCCAAAAAACGAAAACATCTTCTCCAACAAAGGAAGAAGCCGCACGAAATCGCTTTAGGGAGGCTAAAAACAAAGAAAAAGAAGATGACATAACTCGAATTCGACACAAATTCCCGGGAGCAAATGAAGTTTAGACTAAACCTGGCCTGAGATTTTCAGAGTCTGTTTTATGTGATTAAACTAAATAAGTTTGCTTTTTATGTCTACACTAAAACCATACAAGGTTTGTTTTTATGTTTAGACTAACTTGCACCTACCCAGGACTCCGAAAGTTTGCTTTCTGCGTTTAAATTAAAGCCTACATCAAGTTTGTTTTCTATGTCTAAACGGTTCTCTCCTGGGGCTGGGCTCCCATTGGGCTCCCTTCATGTGCCGTTTCTGGGCTCCTGGGTCGGATGGGTGGCTCCCATTTAGCTCCCTTTCATCAGTGGGCTCCCTTCATGTTTCATTTTGGGGCTCTTCATGTTTCCTTTCTGGGCTCCTGGGTCGGATGGGTGGGCTGCGGCGACGGGCTGGGCTTCATTGGGCTCCCTTCCTGTTTCCTTCTGGGCTCCTGGGTCGGATGTGTGGGCCGCGGCGACGGGGAAGGCTCCCATCAATGGGCTCCCTTCATGTTTCCTGTCTGGGTTCCTGGGTCGGATGGGTGGGGCTGGGCTCCCGTTGGGCCCATTGGGCTGCCTTCATCAATGGGCTCCCTTCTGTTTCATTTTTGGCTCCCTTCATGTTTCCTGTCTGGGCCTGCGTCGGATGGGTGGGCTACGGCCAAGGGGCTGGGCTCCCTTCATGTTCCCTTTCTGGGCTCCTGGGTCGGATGGGTGCCGCCTTTTGGACTACGATCCTCTAGCTGAGCTATCAGCTGCTTTTCCACCAGGAGTCGAATATGCTGGCTTCTGGAAGTTTTCGCTGTGAAAAAAGAGAGCATATTCTGTACAACTATGAGCGCTGACCGCAAACAAGATATTTTGGACCCGGCGTTCGCCTCCTTGTCGTGCGAATGTCATCACCACCCATTCTTCTTCTGCACAAGAACATTGCCTAATGCCTGAACATTTGTTTCGCAGCATCTGCTGGCGAAGCCAGGTTGGGTTCCAACACGTTCCAGATTGAACCGGCATGATTCGATGCATTCTGTTTGGGGTCTTCGCTGGTGTAATTCTGTGTCTAAATTAAATAAACCCTACAAAAGGTTCGTTTTCTATGTCTAAACTAACCTGCGCCTATCCGAAACTCCGAAAATTTGTTTTCTGTGTCTAAACTAAATAAAACCTTCAACAGGTTTGTTTTCTATGTCTAAACGAGCTTGCGTCTGCCCTAGTTGTGCAGGTGTGGCAAACCACACGATGCTGCCTCCTCGGAGAAGTAGAGGTGCACGAGCATCCTCCAAGCATACTAGAATGGAGTGTGCATGCCCCGTTACTCGAGTCCGCATCCCCAACCTGTCGATGGTGAGCTTGGAGACTGACATCATCGGCCAAGTCCACACTATGCCTTGAATGTGGTACAGTCGCCGCGCCACCACACACCCCTATTTGCTGGCTCTGTTACAAAACCGAACGACCCACGCGCTTGGGTCCATGCTTGGGGCAACATGATCCTCTGGGCGGGTCGTGAACACGAACGAGAAAGGCCTCAAGATCACAGCCATGCTGCGAGAACACCACGCACTCTTCCTCTCTCGCATGGAATTTCTTGTGAGCGTGAAGGGATGAGACCAAGGCTGGTCAAAATGGCGCACGACCCCGGCTGGAAGAGTAAAGTTGTACCTCGGACGAGTCGGCTGCGCCAGTGGGCGACAGGATGGGCCCGGAAGCTTCCCCGAGGTGCTGACGATGTTCCAGGATGTAAAGGCCGCAGAGGTAGCAGCATGATCTGCGCAGGCTCACGACTGCCACAGAAGGACGGCCTGCACTCTTCATCTCTGTGAGGCGGGAGGACTGCCTGGGTCCCGAGAAAGAAGACCCGCGAAGGATCAGCGACTTTCAGATGCTGCCTTAAACGCAAGCGAGCATGCTTCGCTGCATCCCTCAAACACCGCCGACACTTTTTTGAGACCTTGGCTCGTCGGGGTTTTCCGAGGCAGGGTTGATCTGTCGAAGCTCGGCCTGCAGTCCGGCCGCAGTTTTGATACTGTCATGAGAGTAGGATCTGCTCAAATTTGTTTACGGTTTCTTAAGCGTTTACAGAAAAATCGCTAGGCTTACTGTCTTCGGGGAGGAATTTTCCATTGCAAGAGGTGTGCAATCCTCCAAGTCGCTGTTGGGATCGGCAAGCACCGACACACCTGGCGGTCACCCGAGCGACATCGAAACGTCTGTGCACACATCCAACGTTGATGAGGTCTCTCTATTCTCATCTTTGCAAGTCATGCCGTAGGTCGTATGCTGCACGTGAGCCGAAGCAGGCCTTCGAACTGCAGCATCACGGAAGTGCTGGCAGCGGCCTCCTGCACCAGATCGAAGCAACTGTGATCGGCAACTGAAAGTATTGAGAACGGCTGGCCAACTTTGGGAGGCACTTATGGGCACTCCTTGAAGCCTTCGTTGGAGGCGATGGTAGCCTTGAGAGGAAAAGCAAAAATTTGGCTACCCTGAAGTCAACTGCACTGTCTTTGGAGCATGCAGCAAAACTCGATGCTGCTCCGCCGATCGACATGTCACTGTGCAAGGCGCCTTCGGTGGCGGCAGCCGAGTGAAGAACTTCAATGCCTGTGGGCGACTCTCTTGCAGCTTCAGACTATTTCACGCAAATAACATAGCTATGCAAAAGCCCGGGAAGAACGCTGAAGTTGGCACTCAAACCCCGACCTCCCCTTGGAAATCTGATGCAAAATCGTGTAGCCAAACTTGACAGTAGCTGTGCTGCAAGCCGGGGACCAGAAATCCGGAAGCTGGGGCTCCAGGCAGCCCCTGCAAAACGATGTGGCTCCGGCCACGTGGCCTGCTCGTATAACGAGTACTGGCACTGGTACTGGTACTGGTACTACCGTATCTGGAGCTAACCACCAAAAAGGTCATGACTCATGACCAAGACCAAGATCACGACGACTACGACAACGACCGTGACCACAACAACCACTCCTACTCCTACTTCTGCTCCTGTGCTGCCCCGCTGACGAGACGACGACGACCAGGACGAGGACGACGACGGCTGCTGCTACTGCTACTGCCACCGCTACTGGAACCTCTACTGCTATGTGTCTGACGGTAACGATCACCTACTACTACTGGCGTGGCATTAGGTCAAGTGCTCTTGTGATGTCCTGAGTCCTGAGCCTCCTCTTAAGAGCATCCCTACGTTCGCTATGAACGTAGGCAGTTTCTGCCACACAGCGACTGGGCCCGTGGCTAGATCGGCGAGCCCGGAGCCCACTTGGAGGGTATAGAGCTCACCGGGGAGCAGTTCTGGTACCTGGTGTTTGGAGCTCTATGGGGGTTCTATTCAGTACATCACAGCCAGTTACGCCTCTTCAGCTGGGTGTGTGCGTTTTTGGGGCTTCAGAGCCTTTGCAGTGAATCGGTTTCTGTATTCTTCTGCAGTCTGATCAACTGATCTGTGGTTGCTTGAATGTAAACTTGGTCAGCATTGTGACCCCAAAAAATTAGTCCCGATGTTCTCCCGACGACTCGAAGCTCTCAGTCGGCCGAGCGCCCAGCGACAACCAGCACTCCGTCCTGCAACGTGCAGAGAACCAGGGGAAAGCACGGCCAATGCAGGCACATGCAGGCACAGGCGACAGCGCGGTACTTGTCCTCCTCAGCAGTCCCGACCATGGCTGGAACCTGCACAGAGAACAGAAGTCAAGTGGCCGATTCCGCCTCGGGCCGACAGCCGCGTCCTACTCATCTGTGCACTCTTGGAACCCTGAACCCCCCAGGCCCCTGCAGCGACGTCCTGCTTTTCCTGCTAGCTCCCGGACGAGGCCTGCTCCGGTGACAGCGGCTCCTGTGCACGCGAAAGCGACTCTAGCCCAATAGGATGCAGGACCGGGATATTCGGGCGAGGACTACAGGGCTTCTGGTATTGATTTTACCGTGGTTGCTTTCCCGAAGATCCCACCTTTCAGGGCCCTTACAACCGCAAAGCTGCTCCATGCAGATCCATGACAGCATCGGATCTCTTCTTTTACCTTGCTCTCCCAGCCGACATGAAGGCCATGGCGGGCACAGTTCGAGAAAGACGATACTAGGACGCCGAAGGGACTAGACATGACCAAATTGCATGTGCACCATGGCCAGCCCTACCCTGAACTTGAACCCGACGTTGTCAAGAAAGCGCGGACACTTGCCCTGCACCAGCAGCCTTCTCCAGTGGCTCGGCTGCCAGCACCGCTGCGTTTCCTGGGAATTCCGCGCAAGGTTTTACAGGTGCTGCACGGTGTGAAAGCTCTGGACTGATTCTGTACTGAGTCTTCACAGGTAGCTCGATGAGCGAATCTCTCAGCTCGGCCCAGCGCGTCCAAGGATCTGCACCTGGCAAACCACCCTCTTAATTGCCAGGGTGCTGCAACTAAAACTGTCGCTCTGGCATTGAACGTGCAGTCGGCCGTGTAACGTCAAGTGCGTAGCACCACTGCAAGAATGCCGTCAAGGCGAACCCTGCCTGCTGAGCCCTGTTGGCACTTTGGGGCGATTTGCGTCAAACTTAAGGCCTACTTACACGCTTTAATGTTCTGCCCTCGTCACCGGCTCCCGGAAGTAGAAGCGGAAGCGGGCGCCGGCGGGCATCGCGGGGGGCGGAGCCTTGAAAGAGCGGCAATCCGCGAAGGCTTGGCTTTGAGAGGTTCTTCGCGGCTTGACGCAACACTATGTGACCCGGTTGCGACGCGAGATGTCTCCCAGTTCTGAGGGCGCCACATTATCGGCCAGCCTAAGTGATGACACCGGGCGGCAGCAGCGCTGCGCCCTCTTTCTCCCACAAATGGTCAGTCAGATAGGCGATGATAAATGTGTCTCACAAGACTGCTGCTGCAGTGATCAGTGGCTGCCTACACCAAGAATGTTCGCAACTCCAGAACAACAGATGCGGAGTACGCCTTTGCAGGTTTGCCAAGGCAGCGGCCCCCACTTTTCGGCCTCCCCGACGATCTGCTGTTGCAACCGATACCACACAGCACAGCCTGGTCACACATCTTACTCGTCGTCCTGGTGAAGTCCCTGAAAAGCTTCAGTGGGGCCTGGCCAGTCTTCGGGCTCTCCAGGTACAGAAATGTTGGAGCAATCCTCGGCGAACCACCGAAAGCCAATCACGGAAAGCTTGAAAAGGGCCAGAGGCCCAAGTCGTCCGGCCGGGGCCACCACCACCTCCACGGCCACGAGCTCGGGAGGCGAGCGGTCGAAGACGTCCTTTTTGCTCTTCCAAGACTTTCCATGTCAGTTGCTACTTGTAAGTCAACAGGGATGCTGATGCTGATGGTCGATCCTCATTCCATCAAACTGCACTGAGATCGTGTGCTTTTTGCCGACGGATGCTCAGCGGATGTCAGTCTTTACCGATCACTCAAGGCCACTCAGCTGCAAAAGCCATCAATGGCTCGATCTCTTTGTGCAAGCTAAGCAGCACCTGCTATGCAACTTGCCGCAAGACCGGGAGCTCCGGGATCCCGAAGAATCCCAATCTTCCGAACATAATAAAATCGCAGTAGGCGAGGCTCTCGAAATAAAGAACTCACGGCTAATAAATACGATTTCGACGGCCCAGCACTTCCGGCAGGAAGATGGCGAACAACTTCGTCTTGCAATTTCACGAATTAAAAGACTCTTCGCAAGCCCAGTGCATCCAACGTCTCCCTGGCTAGATCATAGAAGCCAGCATCGGGATGCCTTAGAAGCGATTTGCCAGGGGGCTAAGCCACTAGGCTGAGAAAAGGTCCGTCCGTCCAAGCTGCTCTTCTTGCACTTTCAGCACGGCACGTTCCAGGCTGTGCCCCTTCCGCTTGATGCCTGCATCTTGGAGCTTCAACTTCACAGCCTCGGGCCGCAGGTCTGCAGGGGGGGAAGGGTTCTCGGGGTCGCTCGCAGATGCGTTGAATTATTGGAAACTGCCAAGAAACTCGCACCGCCTGCTGAGCGGGCTTGTTGCCCTTGAAGGTATCTTTGTCCACGCGTGCTCTTTCCTTGACCGGGAACCGAGGGATGCAGCGCCAAGCTTGCGGCTTCATGAGTGACATCGCCATGCCTCGAAGCTCTTGTCGTAGAAGAGCGCGCGAGCGAAGGTAATGCAAAGCTGGCCCGATTCGCCTGCAACACGAAGAGTACCATGCTTAGTGACTTCCACGGCGCCAGGAAGCCTCTTCTCAAGCTCTTCCTGTAATTCTTCGCGATGCTGCAATGTCACGTCGATTTCCCAGTCGATGTAGTAATCCAGATCGGAAGTGGCGAGGTCCGTCTTTTTCCCCCGGCTTCCAGCCACAATGACCTGGGCTTGGGGAGCCAAGGCTTCTTTGGTGGCCTCGATGACCTTGGCTGTGTCCCGAGCTGCGGCACTCTTCTGATCGGGTGATCTGGATGCTGCGTGATTTGTCTCATGCTCAAGACGACCTGCTTTCTGCCGCTCTGCGCGAATGGCAGCAAATCTCTCCTCCCAGTCATCGGGGCGACCGTCGTAGCCGCGCTTTTGCCAGTACGCCTCATTGTTCCCGTTGTGCTCGTTGGATCGCCGGTTGGAGCGACTTTGGGGCCAGTTGAGGGAGATGTCCAAGAGCTCTTCCAAGGAACCCCACCCAGGAGTTGGCTGGATCATTGCTGCCGTCAAGGATATCCTGCTGGTGATCGGCATCGTGCAGAGGCACCCTACAAAGACCAGCAGCAGCCGCTGCTTCGCGTCGAGCCCTCCAGTTCGAAGTGCCGCAAAGAGGCGAGCTGACATTGATGGCTCCGCAAGCTACCGGTGCATTCAAGCATTCAAGCTTCCAGCATGCAAGAAAAACGAGCGAGTGACAGGTCGTACTTCCATCCGATTTTTGTTTGGGATGCTGCTGCACTTCTCAGCGAGAATGTCTCGAATGTTTAGGGACTGCACTGGCGCAGGATAACATATCGCGGTAATCAGCTGGGCAAGCCTGATATCGCGTGGTTCTAAGCCCGAGACATGCTTACCATGCAGGAGTTTCATCTCCAAGGCTCCAAGGCTGCAAGCGATGAGTTGTGTCGCCAACAGATTCCCGAGGCCCAGACTTATGCAAGCACAGTGCCAGAAACTGATCCGGGGTCGGTGCTTCTGCAAGGACAGAGAAAGTGTACTGGAACTGGCCGGCAGCTGTTGCTCCTAACGAGGCAGCTTTGCACGAACTGTTGCGAATGTTGACGAAGAGTGGCAGATTGGGCACCAATCCCAGCACCTATCAGTTTCAGCCTGCCCAGTTCTCAGCATCCGGCGCAGCCCTTCGAAGTTGGAAATCACGCCACTCTGGATGGACACCTTCTCAACGGACAGCGTCGCTCTGAAACTTGTCGAGTCATGACCTCGACAGTCTGGGGACCCCGCATTGTATGAGAATCCGGGCACAAGATCCTCCGGTGGATTGATGATCACCTCACAGCCGATCCACAGCACTCACAGAACCTCACGCAACTGGTCCGACCTTGTCTCCGACGAAGAGCATATCCTCAAGAACGCGACGGGAGAAGCTTAGATCCCGGAGGGTCGCATCCGGCTCCTTGTGTTGGAATGTCTGCTTCAGTGGACAAACATCATGAACAGTCCAGTTCCAGCCTTAGGATTGCCCACAGAAACTAAGCCAGAGTTGCACACCCTAAGCTCAGATCTTTACGAACATGTTGTGTGTTCTATGCTGCTGCTGCAATGTCCCGCTCAACAACGGCTTTCTGAACAATGCTGTGCTAAGTCCCAGCAAAGCTCCATGACGCTGCCCATGGGATGCGGGCTGACCTGAGTTGCGCTACCTCCCATGTCCGGCCTTGGGGCAAAGGGCACTCGGGCTGATGCCACCGAGCTGAATTGGAGGACGAGGTTCTCGTGCCTTTACACTGCAGCGAGCACGAGATAGCACGAGCACTCCATGGAGGCGTCCCTGGCACTTCGAAGCGCCTGAAGATTGCCTGCTCCGGAGCGGGGTAGAGGGCCCAGGTCAGCTCCGGAGGCCGCGGGTCCTGGCGAGGCGCCGCGACCCCTTCGTTTCCTCTACCACGAACACACGAAGACTGCATGCTCATGTATAGCAAAGTAAAGCAGAAGATAAACCCAAAATAGAATGACAGACTGGCATATAAAAATACTGCATAGCATGAGTCACCTTGTTAGACTTTAGATGCCAGGGCTCTATGGCACACGAAGAAAATGGTCTTATGACGTGATGCATCGTACGATGCATGCAGCACTACAGTCGACAATGCAACGGTGCAGTATGATCTATGGAAGAGTCATAACATTTGGTCATGAACCTCTCCATACAAATTACCACACCTGCCATGGGATCATGAGACGGCTGGCCTGGACTCCTCCTTGTGCTGGCACCTGCAGTGCTGTGGCTCTTCATATTGCTTCTTTCGGATTCAGCCTGCCTATGCTCCTTGTCGTTGCGAACTGATTCGAGCAGTCAAGGAACCCTTTTAAACAGCTCTCGAATACGTTGTCCTCTTCTTCTCACAGCATGGTGAAGCTCAGCAAGATTTGCTGACGGGCATGGATACACGCGGTGGCATGTCAAATCATGTCATGCTGCCAATGCACCCGCCCATGTCACACATGGCATGTCAAACATGCATGTATGCGTATACATGTCTGCACGTATGTAAGCATCATCGCATATACACTGCTCTAACTCATCAGCTTGTTGTCCGGACGTATTTACCCAGGTTTCAAGGTCGACAATCCTTTGCTTATGGGACCATCATGAATCTTCGTCTTTGCCTCGATGAGAGCGGTGCTGGGCTCGTCTATTATCGCGTATGCTGGGAGTTCTGCCCACATTCACCAAACTATTCAGTCATGATCTATTGCCGGTATTCGTACTATTCCTGGTACTACCGACATCATGTGTTGGAGATAGTCACTGGGAAACAGGCAAGAAGCATGGACAAGCCCACTGGAAGACCACACCGTAACTCCACCGAACTTCAGGCAAGCAGACCACACGAAGCGTGAGGGCACCCGTCGTGTGGCTTCCTACCCGTATGTAGGACTTTGACATCAAAACCACATTGGTTCATGAAGGCCATCAGCATCATCATCGTTACGACGGGTCATCGCCAGCAGCGACAGCAACAGAGCTAGCCTCACTACCCTGTTATCGAGATCAACTTTGAGGGCATGGTTGTGAGTGCGATCCTCAGTTGCAGCTGAGATGTGGGCTCGCACAGTGAAGTCGTCCAGCCCGAAGATTGGCCCATCCGGACAGCGTCCCCGGAACTTGGAAATGGCAAACTAGAGCCGGAATATATGGACGCAAAATCTATGGCGAGAGCCGTTGCTCAATTTGTAGGCTGAGGCTGTAGCACAGGAGACCCGGTGCTCCCACTCTCCTGGTGCCTGGATTGTTCCACAATCCCAGTACATCGCTTCACGAAGTCAAGGCGGGACCGTTGCCCCGCCTCGTACTCCTTGGAGCTGTGTGCCAAGTTTCCGCGACGGTCCTCGAAAAGGACGAGCCGAGCCGACGTTAGCCTTATGTACTCCGGTAACACCCGACAACAGCTGTAGCTTGTCCTGGAGTGCTCCGGGGCCGAAGACCAGCTCGTAGCTGGCACCTAAGGTATGTCAGTTCTCAGCCACCTTGCATGGCATCTTGCATCAGATGATCCAGAAAACGAGTTCCAGGCCCATTTCCAGGCCGATGCTGGGACGCACGATTACCTCAGAGATGCCCAGGCAGAGGACATGTTCAGCGTGAGTGAAAGATTCCTTGGTTAAAACAGGAGGACCAGAAGCTGCAGCCTCAAGTATCAATGTAGCAGCTGATGTGGCGTCGGATCGCTTGCACCACCCAAAAGATAATTGACGCCGCAAGCTCCTAAAGAGTTAGCTTTCGCGATGATGATGAAGATGAAGATGAAGATGAAGATGAAGATGAAGATGAAGATGAAGATGAAGATGAAGATGAAGATGAAGATGAAGATGAAGATGAAGATGAAGATGGAGATGAAGATGAAGATGAAGATGAAGATGAAGATGAAGATGAAGATGAAGATGATGATGGTGATGGTGGTGGTGGTGGTGGTGGTGATGATGGTGATGGTGATGGTGATGATGATGATGATGATGATGATGATGATGGAGAGGACGTGATAATGATGATGATAATGATGATGATAATGATGATGAGGACGATGATGATGATAGCGATGATGATGGTGATGATGATGACGATGATGATGATGACGATGATGGTGGTGATGGTGATGATGATGGTGATGATGATGACGATGATGATGATGATGATGGTGATGGTGATGGTGATGCTGGTGATGATGATGATGATGATGATGATGATGACGATGACGATGACGATGACAATGATGACGATGGTGACGATGACGATGACGATGATGATGACGATGATGATGATGATGATGATGATGATGACGATGATTGTTGAGTGTTAGCGCTGGCGATGACGATGGCGATGCTGATGGTAACGGTGATGGCGATGATGCTGCTTGTGCCGTGTTTGGGATGGGAGGGGTTATGGGGCGCGCTTGCATAAGCCAGTTCAGGAACTCGAGATAAAAAAAGAAAGACTGCCTTTGTGACCGGTTACATTTCCAAGCTCTGCCCTCGCACCAGCACGGCTCTCTGAGATTAACGCCATTCCGGGCAGGTACGGGTGCTGCACGATCTCAGGCATCATATCCACTACTGCGGCGGGACCTGCCGTGGGATTGCCATGAATCCTATACGCCTCTCTCGAAGGCAAAGCTTGCCTGTGCCGCTCTGTGTGTCTGCCAATCTTTCACCGACCCTTGGACTGGCACCTCGCTCTTGGTCCGCCAGACGCACCACGGAAAGTGGTCCTGGGCCACGAAGGGCCACCTGGTGAGAGACGCAAGGATATCAGTCTTGCCAGCTTCAGCGTCCTTCAACCTGAATTCGAAGGCACGGTGTTACGGCACCTCATCGAAGAGGAAACGGAACTCCGTCATCATCGTCAAAGCCCCACTGAGCCTTGCAATCGGCTCAAGACAAAGGCCCTCGGCACTGCAAACGCATTTTCGGAAGCCCAGCCCCAGGCGGATTGGTGGAGGTCGCATCCACGAGGCGCGGCCCGGATACGTCATCGGTGGCCTCGGGAGTGTGAAAGAGGCACCTAGCCGAATGGCACCAGCCATGCTGGGGCCGTGGGCATTCTCTGGATCTTCCGTTCGTAAACGTAGGCCGTGGACGGGAGAAATCTGTCAGCATCTTACATCATCCAGAAACATCCAGAAAACAGCTCACAGAAGCGACCTTCTGTTTCCACCTGGGCCAACGAAGCAAGCCCAGTTCAAGCTTCTTTTTGCCGCTGGCTATAGAAATCGATATCCGGGCAAAACGAGCTTCCAGGTTGTTCCAGAAGCCTTGTCCGTGTCTCCTATCTAGCATGTGAGAGTCTCCCCAGAGCCCGCCATGCCGTGGGAGCCATGTTGGCTCTCAGACGGCTCGGCTTCGCTTCGCGGGAGGTTCTGCGTCATCCTGAGACAAGAGATGGGGATGGCCCTCGTCGAATCAGAAAAGTTCCAATGCCAGCGAGTTTCTTGCGCTTGTGCCTGCAAGCACTGGACATAAGTTTGCATAGTGCCTGGCAGAGCCATCACACACCAAAAGGAGTCGAGTCTCACGGCTCTGGTGTGCAGTCCAGGCTCCTAGATCCCAGCGCATCCCCTCGATGAGGACCCCAAAGACGCCTGCAACATGGACGAGTTCTTTCCTCTCGCTTTTTCGAAGGCGCTGCGGCTGCGACCTTCGGACTGGCGGAGTTGGTCCAAGGCCTCCGTGAAGTGACCGGCCTGGGCCGGGCCGGGCGGAGTTTTCTGCTTGCGCTGCACAGCCGTTTCCGCCTCTCGAAGCCCAGCCTTGGAGGAGCGCAGAGCTCGGAAGACGCTGGGCGTCAGCACGTACTGACCGAAGGAAGCGAGGAAGAGCCCTGCAGGCGGCTCGGCGTCACAGAGCACAGGAAGTCCACGCATGCCCCGCCCTCTGGCAGGACTGAGGTCACCAAGCGCTCCTCGGCAAACTCCCTGCCAGGCCAGCAAGCGGAGGGCTTCCTGAAACCCTGCAACCGCGCGGGGCGCCTGGTGGGCTTCTCAGCTAAACGAGCCAACCTCAGAGTTCGGGAAACCATGATTCGGCATCATTCTGGTGCCGTAGCACACCTACCATGAATCATCGACTGGGTTTCTTTGTGTTGTTTGTTTCGCCATGTCCGTGGGGTAGATTGATGGGCTTCACTACGGCGCATTCGCACACTTTCCGCCGTTGCATGTGTGATTTTCGCCTGGGTTGTGTAGCATTGCTGTCAGCTGGCGCTTGGTTATGTCACCAGTGTTTATTCGGTTAATCCGTGCTTGCTGTGGTTCTCCCGGCATGGATGGCTACGACCTCCCTGTGGTGGCGATTGTTCGCTGAACTTAGTTCTCTGCATAAGATTCTCTCTGTCGCTGCTGTTTGCTGCGATCCCTGGAAGCGGCTGAACTGTGGGTTGGCTCGCGTCGAAACTAGCTCGCAACAGCTGCTGTGCTCTCCTCGGCGGGGACTGCGCGCCGATACGAAAGAGTGGGGGTGTTTGCCCGCGGAAGGTGGGCGGGGGGTCCGAACAAGAAACGCCCCGCTGCCCCTGTCTTGTTTGGTCTTTTCGCCCTTCTTCTTAGTCGGAAAACCAACCCTTCCGTCTTCCTCTCCCTCATAACCCTGCTGAAGCCCAGCCCTCTCTGTCTGTCTGTATGTCTGTGTGTGTCTGTGCGTGTTCGTCCATCTATCTATCTACCTTCCGACCTTTCCACTTTCTTTCTAACACTGGAATGGGGGTATATCTGTCGATCTATCTATCTATGTATCTATCTATCTATCATCTATCTATCTATCTATCTATCTATCTATCTATCCACCTATCCATCTATGGATCTATCTGTCTATCCATCGGTCTGTCTATCTATCTATGTGTCTGTCTATCTATCTCTCGATCTCTCTATATCCATTTACCTACATATCTATCTATCTATCTGACTGTCTATCTGTCTATCTATCTTCTATCTATCTTCTATCTATCTATCTATCTATCTATCTATCTATCTATCTACCGGTCTATCTATCCATCTATCTATCGGTCTATCTATGGACCTATTTATCTGTCTATCCATCTATCTATCTATCCAT